AACTGGGGAACCGAAGTCCAGTCCTGGAGCTTCTTCATGGTCATTCTTCTTGAGTGTGATTTGGGCAAGCTGAGTAATTAATTGGGCCCCGGGTTCCATTTTCTGTAAAATGCGAGGAAGAAAGAGAGGAAGAATGGGAAGAAGGGGTACATGGAAGGGGGGCAGTAGAGGGAAGGAGCAGAGATGTTCATACCTGTGCCACCCATGATACAGTGTCACCCTGAGACTCTCAAGAGACCGTGTCTATGGAAGCCTCTGCAGATGGTGTAGAACTGTACAAATGTCACATGTTTTCACTAGCCTCTTGATTAATACTTTCAGGAATTTTACTAGGATTTAGAGCCAGACACGTTTGAAGAAAACACAGAGGCCGCACTCTAGACAAATTGGGTTTCTCGTTCTGCACTAACCAGGAAGAAAATGCTGCCATTCCTTGCTAAAAAGCCATTTGTCTTGCAAATTTCTATAATGAACAGATTTTGGAATAAATACCATGTAATCTGCGATGACAGTTCTCTCATTTCTTTTTTATTAGTTCAATCTTCTCAGCATCTGAACCACATAGCTCCAGAACCTCCATAATCATTAAGGCAGCTGGGTTGCATGCATTTTCCCTGCTTTCTGGCACATGATGGAGTCCCCAGCCAGTCTCTTGTTAGGAGTCCCAGGTTCTGGCCACTAAATGCACCTGGATAAGGACTCTGGATTCTAAAAGAGAACCAGCAGCGAGCTGTGTGGCCTTTGCAATAATATGCCCTGTTTCCCCACTTCCTAACCTTTACCTGTGTGCATTTGAAACCCAAGTCTGACTCAGAGCTTGTGGGGAGCTTGAGTTGCGTGAAACATCTCTTTGCTTAAAATAGATCAACTCTTCAGAACACAGAGTGGTTGTTGTCACCACTAACACTCCTTTCTCTCTGCCTTCTCCCTTTTCCCTTTCCCTAGGTAAGTGCTGTTTGATTATTGTTTTGAGCATCTTCAAGAGAGAGAGAGCTCAAGGCTGACCCACTTCTCAGGCCCTTGGAAGGAAGTCTTTGGCCAGTCTCTGGCCATCCTGCTCGGTGGCTCCTGCGGTGTGTGGGGCATATAGAGGTATGGCTGTTCCCTGTTGCTGGGTTTGTGTCTGCTCATGGGGAAGAAAATGTGAGTGTTGGATCAGCGTCAACGATGCAATTAAAAGAAATTACTGGGGACAGAATGCCAAAAGATGGTCGTTTCACCTCAGCAAGTCATCTCATTTTATGGGTGCTCGTGAACTCTATGTTAATCTATTTACTAAAAATGGACTTCATAAAATAAGTGAATTATAACAATTCCATTTCTACTAAGGGCTTCACAAATAATTTTTGCCTTTTACTAAAAGAAAAACACAGGGTTGAAATATATTTTGTCAATATGCCAGTTGAGTACATGACTGGGTCTGAGAAAAGTTGGTCCATTCCTCATTCCCAGATGATGACACTTGGCAAGCTTAAACACACACTTGAAATATCGTATAAAATTCTAGGGAAATAAAAGTACAGAGGAGCAATGTTAGATGCAATTCTGAGGACCAAAATGATACATATTCCTTGTGTCTGTAACTTTTGGTGCATCGAGTCATGGTCTCATAAAATGTACCGTGGAGCTGTCCTGTCAACTATAGGGTCAGAATATTTAGTGCAGATGTCGAGAGGGCATGGGACTCATGCCCCTCGGCCCAGAGCACCTGGGAGGGTGACGGTTGAATACAGGCTGATGGCAGTGTCTCACTCTGGACCAGGAGGAACCGTGATGGTATCACAAATGCTAACCTACTGACCACAGCCTACATAAAGTACAGATATAATCGTCATGTAGTCTGAGTATTTCTACTTAAAATACCCCCGGTCTGCTAAGCAGATGGAAACATTAGATGTGGCTAAAGGAGATTTCTCATGCTTATTCAAGAAGACATACTCTGTCTTCATCACCCTAATCCTAGAACATTTGCTGACATTTTTTTTTTTGCATTCTGTTTTTATCTTTGTATGGAGCACCCCTGGCTACTTGTTAAAAGACAATTTTCAGAAAAGGTAAAATTATGGGTCACATATACGTAAAAGTGAACAATATTTTCTTTAACTCATTATTCATAAGGAAACCAGGCAGGTGTTATATATGTCTTGAAAGAAGTCAAAGACATACAAATGTATATGGGATAAAGGGATGTTGAAATCAGTTTCCAAATGGACTGGGAACTGGCTTTTTCTGAGTTGGGAGGGAGAAGTTGACTGAAACTGCAGCAATTTATTTCCATGTATATAGATGGGATTATTTTGCTTTGCTATCAATTATCTACAATTTACAGAGTTGTAAAATAGCTCACAGGCAATGAAAGGCTGAGATGAGATGGCCCAGTGGGGTGTGCTGGAGACAATGCACTGTTTTCCATTAGACACACCCAGTGATCTTTTCTGCTTATTTCTCATTTCCTTGCATACTCAAGAGAGTGGATTTTAAAATAGGAAGTCATCGTCAGCTACCCTGTTTTCAGATCCTAACTCTCCGTGTTGCTCTTTATTAAAGTTCAGATCTGTTGCCAATGCTGAGACTTCAGTTGCCTTTGATTTTGGAAGCACGCCTGCCTTCATCTTGTGTGACTTCCCTGTAATGCCTGGTTTTACCGTTGCGCTAAAAGAAGCTTTTAATATTTCTCTGAAAAAAAGTGCCAATTCTAAAGCAGCATTTGTCCTGTGAGTGGGATCTTTAAGGCTGTGCATTAGCTATATGTTGTTTATCCTTTGGTTCTTTACTAAGGGATGTTCTTAGTGTCCTCTCCAGTGGGAGGGGTCAGATTTGGAACTCCCCATCTGCTGTCCGTTTGCCCTTGAGACAGCTTTGTCCATGATAATTCATCTTCTAAGCAGGTCCACCCCGTGGCTCTCAAGCAGGGTTCATGTCAATGGAGTATGATGTGGTCACCACACATCTTCTTAGCTTGGTGATGCTTTCTCCAAATGTGGCTCCTCAGGGTGTGTCTTTCACCAACTTGGGGGTGTCTCCCAAAGTGAGCAGGGACCAGAGGGGAGGAGTGCTTGGTCTGACCTGTCGGGGAGGAGAGGGCAGGCATCAGCCAGGCTGGGTCGGATGGGCAGGATGCCTGCTCCGTGGGACACACTGGCTTCAACCCCAGTCACGGGCACCAGAGGAGTCGAGTGGTCCTCTCCCGTCCGTGGGTGGGATCGCCTCTCACAGACGTATGAGCATTTTTCCCTGTGAGCCTCTTTGCCTCTGGGGACTCTGCCTCATGCTGCTGTTGCTGATGAGAACCCTGCTCGGCAGCCCAGAGCTGTGGCCCCATGTGGACCCTCAGTGATGGCTTTTTCAGGAGAGGCGGTGCCTCTCCCCACCACATCCCAGAAAATCGCATCATTTTCGCTGTTGGCAGTGCTCACCGAGAGTTCCCCAAGTCCTCTCACACACAGGATCCAGCTGTGCTCCTGAGAGAACTTTGAAAGGAAAAGATCTGTTCCAATATTTTCCTTGCTCACAAACCATCTGGATTCCTTTTTTCTTTCCGAGGTTTGTTTTCTGAGGATGTAATGAGGAAGTTCTAAATAGAGCAGTCTCCTCAGGTGAGACGGCCCACCGGCATCCACCCCGATGGGCACCTGTGTGCCGCAGGATGGGTCACGTGGGCTTCTCGTGGAAGGCTTGAGACCCACTGTGACATAGACTTCAGCCTTGGGATTTACTTCTTCTGGTCAATTGGAACTGTGAGGTTTAGTTTATTAATACATGACTAGGATGATCAAGATGGTCATTGGTGCACTTGAGCTCAGGTCTGTTTACTCTGTTGATTCTCCATGGCACTTGGGACATGAAGGATAGAATCAGAGCATTAATTGTTTAGTAGTGGCTTTTACTGCAGTTGCATGATGGACCCTGGATCCCGAAGAATAACCTATCAGATATCCTCAGGATGAGAACTCATCAGCCGAAACCTGTTCACTTTCCTAAGGGCTCATGGAGTTCTGAGATCATCAGCTTTCTGGCTTTCAATTATAAATATCAAGTTGGTGTTGTTTAGTTCTCTCAGTAGTGTCTGACTCTTTGCGACCCTATGAACTTTAGCCCACCAAGCTCCTCTGTCTGTGGAGTTCTCCCGGCAAGAATACTGGAGTGGGTAGCCATTCCCTTCTCCAGGAGATCTTTTTGACCCATGGATCAAACCTGGGTCTCCTGTATTGGCAGGCGAGTTCTTTATCACTGAGCCACCAGAAAGCCCCTAAACAACAAGTACATTTTGTGAATAAAAAAAATAAAAAAATCACAGATACTGCCATTTCCCTCTCCACCATGTACCCACCTGGGGCTTAGAGGCTGTGTGTCTCCAGGGTGATAGGGAAGAATAGATTGAAAGGAGGGGGCAGAGGAGAGAAGCGCAGAGTATGATCTGTGATTGGCGTTTGTGCCTGTTTGCTGCGCCGAGTCAGTCATGCTGTGTCCTTCCTTCCCTGCCATCACACTCTGTCCAGACCTAAAGCAGCTGAGTTTTAGAGCAGACTCTGGACTGAGATGCAGACTCGCCAGGGTGGCTGCTATGTGTGAAGCCACCCTACCTGCAGCCTCAGACATGGCGCCATGGACCTCATCCTCACGGCCCCTCTCGGTTGCACGGGGTCCCATGGCCTGCCTTCCTGTCTCTCTGCCCTCTTGGTATTGCCTCATACTCTCCTCTCCGGCCTGCAGGCCAGGGAAGAGCAGTCCTGTGTGCAGTCCCAGCCGCATGTGGGTTTCTGCAGCTGTGAGGCGAGGCCCCTTGCAGCCTGCTGGGTGATGAGGAGTGAGATGGAGTGTCCACTGTAACCCTCTGTGGCTTGTTCACGGAGCGGCCCCTTTCCTCGCGTCCACATATTCCCTCCATCCCGCAGGCACTGCAAAATGGAAATCACCCAGGGGGTCTGGAACATGCTTTATGAAGTCGCATTTTGGAGCAGGCCGGAGGGGCCCTGCCGGGAGCGAGCATCACAGTGACTATGGTGGTACTGCGCCAGGTCCCACCCCAGGGAACTGGCGAGGGCGCCGGGCGCTGTCATTCCAGCTCAGGAGGTGATGATGATGCTGGTTTCCCTTCTGGCATGTGTATCAAACTGTATCTTTATTTACTGGAGAAACATCAAAATAATATTGAAAGGATCACAGCATAGTTGCTATGTTATGCACGGAGAGAAAAGGCAGGGATTCCTGGAGGAAGGAAGGGGCAAGTTTGAATGTCTAGGAGATTTTTCAGGGAGTTGGAAAGGAATGGGGAAACCACAATGGGAAAAAAAAAAGTATTACTGTATTTCTATCGCAATGAGCTTTTGTAGGAGCTGGGAGCAGCATTATTACTCCCGGAAAAAAAGACCACACTCTTTTTTCCCCTCCCTTTTGATTTAGACTTCTGTGAGCCAAGTGCTCCGTGTTTTAATGGTCTGTTTTAAAGACAGAAAGGGCCCTTATGTGTCAGAACACAAACCTGTCCCAGCCAGCACGGGGCTTTGTTTGATTAGGAGCCTTGTTTGGGAAAGATGGTATTTTTATAGCCTCTGCTTTGCTTCACCGACGGCCATATTGATGTGGCTCTCCAGGACGGGCCTGATAAATAGCTTCTAGAACCGCCAGGCCTTTCTCTCGGCAGATGCACCACTGAGCCTACCCCGACTGAACCGCACATCCACAGCGGCCACAGGCCACAGGGAGGAGGTCTGGGGCTCTGTGAGCTCGTGGGCCTTCAAAAGAGCCACCAGAACTTTCCTGTGAAAAGTTCAGAAGCGCGGCAGGAGTGAAATGCCGAGACAGGGCATTTCATCCACGTTGTTCAGTCTGCGCTCAGATGTTGTGGCCACTGGGAGGGCCGGGGCTCAGGAGAGTGGGGACAAACACTCCCAGGGCAGTGGAAGTCGCTGTGATCAAGAGGGAGCTGGAGGATGTGGGATGGTGGTGAATGACAGCTGCTGGGCAGAGGTGGTGGGTGGTGATGGAGAGCAGGCAGCCTCGTGGGCAGGGGGCCTAGGGTGAGGAGGGCAGAGGATGCTGGCTTTCTGGGAGAGGTTAGCAAAACCCTGTGGAAGCATCCTGATGGCTAAGGATGGATGGGGTGAGGACACTGAGACAATTGATGAGCACAGGCTGGGGGCGGGGAGGTTGGCTCTGGGGGCTGGGCGGGTCATACCTCACCCGATCTTGGGAACATCTGTGCTGGGCCCACAGCCATGCCAGCAGCTCTCCATGCCAGCATCTATTATCCCTTCTTTAAAGCTGACATATTGTCACCTTTTGTGGGTAAGGAAGTAGCATCAGAGAGGTTTTCAGAACACACAAAAATACAAGAGAAAAAATAACAGTAAAACCCAAAGATTTGCTTTGCAAAAGTGCAGCTGAGCAAAAGTGCCGAGCCCTGGCTCTGTCTGACCACACGGCCCTGTGTGTGGCGCTCTGCGTGGTACATGTGACGTGGTCTGCTATTCCAGCTCAGGAGGCAATTGCTGATGAGACGTGACTTTTAAAACTTGGTGTGCAACACCCTTGCCCCAGATCCCCAAGCTCCAAACACCTGAGCATTTCAGATGACGGCTGAAAACACCTCTAATTTGAGGTTTTGAGACTTACAGAAATTCAGGTGTCCCCAGGAGGGAACAACAGAAGCAGCTGTTTATTTTGAGAACTCTGTTCCTCAGTCACAGCAATAGTTGAGACCTGTCTTTCTCCAGGCTCGCCCCCACACCTGGTGAGCGTGGGAGCCCCTCCAGGGAGTTTTGGGAACCCAGGCATGTCACACGTGCCCCCGTGGGGTCGCCTGTGTGGCCTCTGGCGATCGTCTGTTAACCATTCTGCTCCTGTGCTGGCCCTGGTCACGTGTCCTGACCCCCGGCCCCAGACCAGCTGCAGGAGCCTTCCCAGTACCTGTGCCGTGCCTGCCGCTGCCCCAGGGGAGCCGGGGAGCAATGTGAGGGCGGCCCTGCTGCCCAGGGCGGGACCTGTTTCCTGCTTGTCTCCTGCCCTCACGGCCCATCACTCAGCACCCAGTCACCCCTGCAGCTTGCTAAGAGGCTGGTCTCTTCCCCGCGGCGGTCTGCACAGGGCAGAGTGAACTAGCTCGTGTAGACTTTGCTTGTTGACTTATGGCAGTCAGGCAAGCCTCCAAACTCTCTAACCCAGCGCTCACCACACACTCCCTCTGAACTCAGCGGTGGGAGTGCTCACCTTCCATCTGTCAGCTGCTGCACCTGCGGGTCTCCCGAGATGCCCACACATACCTGTGCGTGACGGTGGAGAACCGAGATGCTGCAGCAGGCAGGCTTCCCCAGGGGCTCCTGTCACTGTCCCAGGAGAGGACAGCAGTCACCTCGGTGGGTCAGGAGGGAGCTGGAGTGCCAGGAAAGGGGGTCCCTGGGGTCTGCTTGTGGCCACTCTTCCCAGGTGCCTTCTGCACCTGCATAGCTGCCAGGCAACCTGGTCAGAACAGCACAAAGTGAGTGGGTACCCCCTCCCTGCCCAAGCCTGTGGAGACCCAGCATGCCCAGTGACCAGCAGGCCTTTGTGGGCCCCAGAATTTGGGACCAGCCAAGGGCTTTCCTAGTGGCTCCAGACGGTAAAGAATCTGCCTGCACTGCAGGAGACCCAGGTTCAATCCCTGGGTCAGGAAGATCCCCTGGAGAAGGAAATAGCAACCCACTCTGATATTCTTGCCTGGAGAATTCCATGGACAGAGAAGCCTGATGGGCTATAGTCCATGGGATTACAAGAGTTGGACGTGACTCTTAGTAACTAAACCACCACCATTTCAGCAAAAGCCACCACCACCATCCAGGATAATCCTGCCCTCGTTATTTCGTACACAGATGACTGCCCCAGTGTCCTAGACATGGGTACACTTCCCACATGTCTCTGATGGTGTCCTTTGAAGATTTCAGTAAAAACCGGGTGAGCTGTGACAGGCTCAGCCTGTGTTTGCCCGTGTGTGGGGTGGTGTTAGCCAAGTCTTCCAAGTTCTGAGCAACCCAAGACTGTCATTGCTCTTCCGCCCCCTTAACATTCCCAAGAGAAGTAGCCTGGGGTGGGTGGGCAGAGTTAGTCAGGCAAATGCACACTCTTTTAAAGAAATAATCTTAGTATACATGATGCATGTCTTTGTTTATTTCTGGCTGCACCTCTTAGTAGGCCGGATCTTAGCTCCTGGAACAGGGATCGAACCTGTGCTTCCTGCAGTGGAAGCTCAGAGTCTTAACCACTGAACCTCCAAGGAAGTCCCCATACTCTTCATTCCATGAGTCTTTGGCCTGCACCCTGCTGCAGTCAGCCTCCTGTGAGCTGGCTGGGTAGTCTAGAGCAGAAATCTCAGCTCTGGCTGTTCACGAGGATCATGGAGGCATTTGAAAAATCAGAAACAAAGAAAAACCATGGTTCTCAGGGCCCCTTCTCCTGAGACTGTGATTTAGTTGGCTTGCAGTAGAGCCTGAGCATCTGGATGTGGGTGTTTTAGATGTTCCCCTAGGATTTAATTTCCAGGTGGGTTGAGCACCACGTAGTCAGGGGGTCTTTTGCTTGGGTTGTGGCCTCGTTTAGATCCCAGCAGTCTTTATTTCCCATTTCTCTAGGCTGGCTCCTGTGTCTGGTCCCTCTTGTCTTTCTATCTCTCTTTTGAGCACTTTACTTGAGAGGCAGTGACCTCTTTGGTAGCTGGATGCTGAGCGCAGTCAGCCTGGTGGCCTTTAGGATTTGCCTGCTGCTCAGGAGCGGCTCAGGCCACAGGGCCGCAAGCTGTCTCATGGGGGTGGAGGCACAGTTTCCAGCAGGAATACCTCCAGGTCGGTGCAGACTCTCTGGTCTTAGGGAAGCAGGATACAGATGCAGGGTGAGCTTGAGGTGCTGGGCTGGGTGACTGACCAGCTCCTTCTTGTAGCTCTTCTTCCTCTGCCAATTTAGCCCTGGAAGAGCAAGTTTAAACAGAGCAGACTCCCTCACTGATGTCTGTTTCTTTAACCCCCGCCCCCCACTTACATAGGGAGATACATTCCCATCACAGCTGCCTAGAAGGTGCTTAGAATTTACCCAGATGAGGGAACAGTACTAGAAAGAGAGGTCAGTGGGCAGAAAGACAAGTCCAAAGTCCATCCTTAGGGAGGCAGCAGCCTGGTGGTGGAGAACAAAGGCCCTTAGATCTCAGCTCCTAATCTCTTTGCCTCTTGCAGGATGCTCTCCAAATTCAGGGAGGCCCTCTGGCATCTGGGAGTCCCTTCTCTTCTAGGCAGGTCTCTGTGGTCATCCCCTGAGCTCACCCGGGTAGCCATCTGCAGGGTGACTGCTTCTCTTCCTTCCCCGTGGTTATCTCCTGGGACCAGAGGCTCCGAGGCATCTCCGTCAGGTGGAGCAGAAACTGCCCCCGGTTCCCATGGCAACCCCACTCACCTCTCTCCTAGAAGATGCCACCTCCATGTGGCCCATTAATTTGTTGGCTTTAAAAAAATAATAATTCTATTTATTTTATTTTGACTCTGCTGGGTCTCCACTGCTGTACACAGGCTTTTCTCTAGTTGTGGCGAGTGGGGGGTACTCTCTAGTTGCGGTGTGTGGGCTTCTCATTTCAGTGGCCCCTCTTGTTGTGAAGCATGGGCTCTAGGTGCGCGGGCTTCAGTATTTGTGTTGCGTGAGCTCAGTACTTGCAGCTCTTGGGCTCTAGAGGACGGGCTCAGGAGCTGTGGCGCATGGGCTTAGTTGTTCCAAGGCATGTGGGATCTTCCTGAATCAGGGATTGAACCCATGCCTCCTGCACGGGCAGACTGATTCTTAACCATTGAGCCACCAGGGAAGCCCCGTTGTTGGTACTTTTGACTCAGCATTTTGACAGAAGAAACCAGCCAATGTCTATATTGTGTCTGTCACTGTGACCACTTGCCCTGCGTGGCTCCACACTTGAAACATGGCTGGCCCACATGATGAGATGACAGTGTTTTCAATATATTGAGTTGAAGGAAATATGTTAAAATAGCTTCACTGTAGCTTTTAAACTTTTTTGTTTTTTACAATGTGTCAGCTAGAATATTGAAAATTACATATGTGGCAAAAAAATAACATTTGTGGCTCATGTTGTATTTCTGTTGGGTCGCTCTTGTCTGTAGTGACCAAGGGTGGGTTATTTTTCTTCACATTGTTTCTGTTTGTATCTTGTCTTCCCTCCATCCCCGTCCCCTGCCTCCCCCTTCAGGCAGTGAGTGGAGATAACAGAGGTATAAGCCACCCCATCACCCTGTGGTTCTCAGGGAGGTGAAGTCACTTTGTGTGATCCCCTCCACTCCCATTGCCACCAATAGGCGAGGTGCTCAACAAGTAATTATGGCGTGCTCATTCATACAATTATTACTTATCCTGAGTCATCCAGCGTGCTTTTATGTAGCTCTGTTAAACTTAAATGGCCCCTTTCTTTCACGGGTTCAGCGTGCTTCGTGTCCATTCCCTTTATAAATGCCTCCTGGTCCTTTCTTCCTCCCTGCCATCCTTTCTGTCTTGCTAATCGCACAGGCCATTTTCCAGTTGGTCGTTGTTTGTTTTAACTGCAAACCACACAGCCGCTCCCCAGTCCGGTCCTCAGTGACGACTCCCAAACACCCCTCTTGATTCCTGACATTTTCAGTGTCTGCTGCCAAGCCCTGCTGTGATCCATGTGACATGCAGTCCTGTGTGTGGGCTTGAGCTGCCAGAAGGGCTTCGGCCAGTCATGCCATCACCGAGCCTGTCAGGACACAGCGAGGTAATGAGTTTGCCATTTGAAAGACCGGGATCGCAGGTTTTGCGTTGGTCCCTCCTCCCCCCTGCTCCCTCGCCATTTGATGTAGATTGGCACAGACCAGAGTTTTCTGAGTGTAAGAACATAAAGACATGAAATACTTTCAGAAAGGGAAAAGGCCATGCAGCTCAATATATTGACCTCTCCTGTTCATATTTTCAGCGATTCCATTTTGGTAAAAGCGCTTTGCTGGTCACTGATGGCAGGAGGTCAGGGAATGAGGAGTTCTTTTGGACTTAGCTTTGAATGTGAAAGATGGAAGGCTCCATCCAAGGGTCGGGCCCGACTCCTCAGTTTAGGGCCAAGGAAAAAGTGCTTCTTAAAGCTGGAGAGTTTTCCCAAGCCACATGGGTGTTCAGAGCTGAGCTCAGATCAGGAATTGGACTTCCTGAGGCATGGAGCAGCACCCACAGCACTGGGCCAAACTGCTGCTCTAGCAAAATGAACCACATCCATGGTGGTCGGGTTTATTCCTCCAACTTCTGTTTCAGAATTTACGGGCAGAGTTACCTTGAGTGTGAGACTCAGTGCTCTCCTTAGACCTGAGCTCAAGGGCAAAATCATCCGGTTCCAAGAATGGCTGGAATGTAGCTGTTGTGAAAAGCACACAAAATGCACCCAGGGTGGCCTTTCTCTCCAGGAAGGGGTCCTCCATCCCAAGCTTTCTGCTGAGATCTGCAGAATTATGAGTGACTGAAAACTGGGCAGGATCTGCAGGACAGTCATTCCACAGACTGTGCGTGGTCTTGCTCAGACAAATAGTCTGGTGTCTCCAGTAACTCCTCATTTGCCAGGCTGGGACAAACTTCCCTCACGGGTCACTGCAACACTCAAGATGCTTAGGAAGTGGAGTTCCCAAGGAGCAATACCTGCCCACTTGCCCATGCTGAGAGCTCAGATTACTGGCTGATTCCAAGTCACAAGGAGTCCTGAATCTTGAAATATTTACTCTCTGAACCACATCGCTGGTGGGTGGAGAGGATCATGAAAGATCTGAAACACCTCCTTGTTTTCGGGTAATGAGGGTAACAACTTATGTCAACAGATGTGCCTCCTGTGTGCACCAACATCCTTTGTACCCCTCCCTCCTTCCTGATACATGTATCAGTCACTTAACAGAGAGCAAGAGATGGAAAAGGCAGTTACTCAGCATGGACCCACCCTCTGGGAGCTGTTGGTCAACAGAGCATCTGTGAAGTGAGGATGTAGAGGTGAGTGGTGGATGCGAGGAGCCTGACTTTGTCTTGAATGTAGCAGGGGAAGTGGAGGCAGCTGCCTTGATGAAGTGCTGCTCCCGCAAAGCCATCTGCTA